TGGATCGTTCAATCGACTGTCCAAAAGGAGATGACGAAAATCTAATGCATATAATGGATGCTAGGCGGACAGACGTTTTAAAAAAACTTTTTAAATGCAAGACGGTTAACAAATATATTTATCAATCGCTTGTTAAAGATGGATACTGTGACTGTGAAGGGCAATATGACCATTACTGTGAAGACGAAGATGAAGATTTTGCTTTAGCTAGAACGAAGCTTTTATTTCAACACGTTTGTGATGGATTAACGCATCTAATTCCAATAAATAACGACAAACAAAATGAAACAGATGAAACAGAATGTGAACAATGGCCATGTAATAACATTTATACTCATTGTGATGGCATTTGGGATTGTCCGAAGGGTGAGGATGAAATCGGTTGTTATTCGTTTACAACATTGAATTGTTCATTAAATCAACATTTATGTGTGTTGCCTGATACAAATCAATTTACATGTATACTACTTGAAAAAATAAATAATAACAACATCGATTGTCTTGGTGCTACTGATGAACCAACACTGTGCCAAAAATACAACTATGCATACAATTACAGAAGTTTCTTATGTAAAAACTCAAGTTCGCAAAGATGCATAAATCTTGCTGATTTATGCAACGGTAAATTCGACTGTGAATATGGTGATGATGAACAATTTTGTATGAAAAGTTACATCCATGGACTGTCCTCCTCATATGGCAAAGTTTCTTATTCTGAAGTTGAGCAATTTTTCTGTAAAGAATTAGAAAAGAAAAGCAAATCATTTATTAAACACTTTTCATTAGATGGATTGACCGAACTCAATACGGATAATCAAACAACTAGTATTAGACCATCACAAATTATTCTATTTCCACAGAAATATGAACTTATGATGAACAGAAAGAATCCATGTTCTCGAGGTATTCAATTACGCGTTTGGCTCAATGAGCAAAATAATTCAACAACAAATACATGTCTTTGCCCGCCTAGTTATTATGGTGATCATTGTCAAAATCAAAATCAACGTGTCAGTTTAACTATGGGATTTCGAGTAATGTCTGATTCTCGATCAACATTATTTGCAATTATAATCTCATTGATTGATGATAGTGAACAAAGAATTATTCATTCATACGAACAATTGAGTTATTTATCGGTTAGAGATTGTAAAGCTAAATTTAATGTCTATTTAGTTTATTCAAATCGACCAAAATCTCAAACAAGAAATTGTTCAATACATGTTGACATTTATGAAAAAATTTCGCTAAATTATCGAG